TGAATGGAAAATTTTTTTCTTTTTTTGAAAATCTAACAAGATGAAGGAAGTTTATGTTGTCATCTGAATTTGAAGTTGTAGTAGACAATTCCTAAATGTGCCTAGCATCCATTTTCCCTTTCACTGTTAATAGCACCTTAATTTTCCTCTGGGGACTGTCTTCTCACCTATACTTATTTATGGATTTTGGGCAGACTTGACTCACTTTTGGGTTCCAGGGGTGGCCTTGTGACCTACTTCTAGCCAATAAGAGTGCTATATCTTTCTGGCTGTGAAGGTTGGTTCAGAAGTGGACATGTGACCCAGGCTCAGCCAATCAAGCCATTGAACATTGTACTCAATATTAGTTCTAGGATTTTCCCTGGATCTCCTTGGGAATGAGGCTGTCTCTTTCTACAGAGCTGTGTTGGCGCTGCCCATGGCTGTCTTTCCACCATGCGGGGGAGCCCCTTGAGAATGCTGCCTGCAGAGAGAATAGCAAAGCTGAGAAAGAAAGAAAGAGACTCCTAATGGCTGGTTTGAATTAGGTTTCTATTCTTTGCAATATAAGAGCCACTGACTAATCTAGAATTGTTCCTCAATGTCCTTAGTTTCTATCAGATGCCTTTAAGACGTAGTCAAGGAAAACACACATAAATCTCAATTCTGGTTTTGGACCAATGACAGCAGGAGGTCATGCTTTTATCTCTTTGTGTTTAGAAAAAAACCTTCTGATAGTTTCTATACTTGTTTGGCTATTGCACACTCCATCTTAAATCCTTTTCTTAAGATGGTTAGCATGATCTCAGCATCATGTTTTCCCTTTCCTCTGAGTGCAGAATTCACTGGATTTGTCTTTCGTTGTCCAGATCAGCTGCCAAGTACGTTTCTTTAAGTTGGCTCCTACACCATGTTCATAATAGGGTGAACAAATCTTTCAGAATGTTTGCGTTTATTCACCCAACAAGCTCTTTGTTCCAACCGTGATCTACCTGAGCCAATCCCCTTTGCCAGAAAGATGTAGAACCATGTTTTTTTTTATGGCAGTAGAAACTAGCATACCATGCTGGTTTAAGATGTTTTAACTCCCACTTTTTTCCATATATAAACAAACTTGTTCTCCTTCCCATCCATGTGTCTACAAACCTCTTTCATAGATAAACAGTCTTCTTATTTAGCCAAAGATAAAAAAAAAAAAAAAAGAGGAGGGATAGTGATACATGCTATACAGCTCTTGAAAAAGACAATAATAAAGGTGCTAATATATTTTTAAAAAATTTTAGAGCCATCCTATTTCTGAAATTACTTACAGGGTATTCATGCTACTGTTAAATACACAGATAATCTTTATCTGCTAATAAAAAAAAGCAACTCATTGCCAGAGGACTGTGACAGCCTTAACAAGCTTCACAAAAATAAAATACAAGCAGATAACAGGTATTATGTTTTCTTTTGGCAAATATTAACACTTCACAGCTAGAATATTTTGCTTATTTAATTGGGGCTATAAAAACTTCCTTGTCTGTTTCACTTGCAGCCACTGAAATGCTCTCAACTTGTTCTTTACTGCTTTGTAGAGCTGAAATGAGAAAACAGCTACGAAACAGACCAGGTGAAGAGATTCCTAAGGTCTCAGGGCCATATTTACAAACCTTATGATCTGTGTGTAGTTATTTATTTTAAAACAAATGAAGTGAATAAATCAGGAGCTCCTTTGAAAAAGAAAAAAAATTGAGAGAAGAAAGAACAAAATATGTCCTCTCAGGCAATTTTCGATTATCTCTATAGCTTTCCCATCACCGTCTCCAACTAAGGGCGCACCCTGCCTCCAGCAGGATTCATTGCTCTCTTTGAGTTCATATAGAAGCTAATATTTCTCTATACTATAGAATTTATCACACATACTATTCTTCTATTTTGTTTGGGTTTAGATATCTGTACTCCTGTCTAGATCACAAGTTCCTCCAAGCCAGAAACAATGTCATGTTCTTGTCCCCAGCACCTGGTCTACACTAAAATTGAGCAAATATTTGTTAAAGTTAAGAGGACACAAAGAAAAGAGAAGAGGGAAGGGGAGAGAAGAGGAGAGAAGAGAAGTGAAAGCAAGTGAGAGCCCAGGAGAGCAGTGAGAGAGGTATTGGGGTCCAGGCCACTGGGCAGGTGTCATACTGGTAGAAAACTACAGACAAGTTGGTCTGGGAAGATCTAGACAGTCTGAGGCAGGCCAAAGAAAAATTATTAGTCCCATTGAAAAAAATTTTTTTAAATATTCCTAGACCCTGGTAACCTTTCAAGTGATTACTTTCATTATTTTGGCTTTGAACACTTTTGTGGGCATACTTTCATTCTTTCCGGCCTATTTTTAAACTAGCTTAAAATTAGTTGTTAGGTAACTTATCTTCCTAATTTCCTTCTCAACAGTTCAGAAGTTCCCGAGTATAGGATGACTCCAAGAAGCACCTGTCAGTTCCCTCAGTGTGGAGTCCTGGACTTGGGGAGTTCTAAGCTCATGAACATATATATGTCTAATGATGCTGGTCCCTACGATGGTTTTGTTAGGGAGGTTGGACTGCTTTGGTGTTCACCGAAGTGATCAGAGTGAGTGCCCTATTTTTAGAATTGCGGGTCAGAATCCCGGATGACCACCTGCAGAAGCCTGTGGGGGCCTCTCCTGGGCCCATCACTCCCTTCCCTGGAGCTGTCAATCTGATTTTAACAAGCGCCCCGTGGTGATGCTCTAGACCGGCCTACCTAGGAACCGCAATCTCATAAAAGCGGCCTTGTTGGGTCTGGCTGCCTGACAGGAATGAAATGTTAACTTTCTAAACTTGCTTTCCTAGATCTCACCAAAAGTAGCAAGCCAACGGTGTAATTTCTCAGGCCTACACTGAACAAAAGATACTAGTGTTTTTCCTTGGCTTGGCAAGAGGAGAGGAAAGGATGCTGAGATGCTAATCCCTGGTTTGGAGTATCCCAGGCAATCACAGAGAACACTCGTCTTTTATGACAGTGTGTTTCCCAAGCATCCCTTTGGGAAGCCTTAGACCCCAATTGTCTGGGAAACATAAAATCAGTCACTTTTGGCAAAGCTCAACACACCGGAGCATGGGAAACACAAATTATAATAGAGATACTACTTTACTCACTATATGGTCTGGTTACACGTTTACTTGGCATAAAAGTAGAATCATTAAAAAAGGGAGCGCCCAGGGGTATAGTTATCTCTCTCAGGTCTGGTGAGGGTCAGAGGAAACTTTAAGTCTCATGAAGGTTAAGCATCTTCATCCTTTCAGCTTGATGTAAGGAAATCACATAAAATCAGGTCAAAATAACTTAATCTAAATTTACTTGTCTTATTTTGCTCACAGGAATTCATAGTGGTTTTCAGGTGGAACACTTTTCAGAGCGGTGGACATGGTGTTCTGTTTTGGTTACAGTGGAAATAACTTTCTTTTGTTTTATTGCTTGTTTGGTTTATTGAGGGAGCCGAGCCTTACCTAACAAGATGCTCAAGTCTCTTGTCAGAGGCAGTAAATCGATCTTGATCAACTTTGAAACGAAGTGGAATTGTTATCTAATCTGTTATTCTGTGGAAATCTTTCTCCTCTGCTGCTGAGAGTCTAAGAGACAAGTTTTCCCATCACTGTAAGTGTCATTCTCTTTAATCCTAACATCTGTAATAAAACCAATACATAGCTCTTTGTTCTGATCCATAGTCTCAGGGTGCCTTTCTCCACAGAGGCTGAAGCCACTTGGTTTGAGACTGCCAGACCTCACTGTGCACTTCTGATTAATGTTTTTAAACTTCATTATACCAGGAGGAATGTCCTGGGCTGAGGAGTTTCAGTTGCTCTACCTAACAGTGGTGGGTCCTGAGATTGATTTTCAAGCCCCACTTATGACACGCCCCAGCACAGGTGTGAAAACTCAAGGGAATCAGCTCAGTCCCCAGACTCTACCCTCCCCATCCTGACTCTGTGAGCGTACACATGAGTGTGAAACTCAGAAGAGGAAACTTTCCTTTCATACATTTGCCTTTCACAGGATCTGCTGTCTTTAGTGGGCACCAGGGGTATGAGAGTCCCTTACCTGGTTCTCAGAACAGCACTAAAAACTGTCATAGAAGGCAGTCATCACCGTCACGGAGGGTGAGGGAGAACGGAATTACAGCAAGGACACGACTGTATCACCACGTTCAGCTCTGCTCCAGTAATGGCGTCAGTGCCGAGAGCTAACGGTTATGGAGCACCAGCTCTGTGTCTGCACTGTTCTAGGAACCAGATGCCAACATTTAATCTGATCTAAGCACCCTCCTTGGGGGCATTTTTGTGGATGCTCTAGAGTTAAGTGTGTTTTGCAGGCACAGACTTGTCTTCTTGAAAAAAACAAGAGTATTTTTATGCTACCGGAAAATACCCACAGAGTATCTCTTCAGTGGTTACATTATTCTTTTCTGTTCTCTGAACGTTGAAGGATTTGGCAAAAAGAATCCTTTAATACAAAAACTGCCCTTATCTCAAAACAAAGCCATCCTAGTATGCTGGTAAGATCAGGAAAATGTGAAGTGCTCAGATGCAGTAAACCAACAATTGATATCTCTGACAATAACTCTTCTGAAAATTTATGTCTAATAACCATTTTCCAAAGGAGGGATGGCTTTATGTTGCAAAGTCTGTTGATGCTGTCCCAGATGTCTGAGATAAGGATCAAGGCTCAGTGGATGGTGACAAAGACTCTTTGTCCCTTTTAAAGTAGCTAATTTCTGTTCCCCCCCAACCAGTCAGTATACAACAGGAAGTCTGAGAGCAATTAGAAACAACTACTGTGCATTAGCGTGGTTTGATTTATATAAACAATTTCTGTGGGAGAAGATGGCTGTGGTTTGAATAGTGTTCAGATCTATGGAACCTAAGAAACCTAAACATAATCTGATATGTATAGAACATTCCTGACCGTGTTCTTTTGCTCTAAACTATCTTAATAAAGAGGAACTCAGTGATTGGAACCAGGCATGGGCTTACCCAGAGAAGGTCATAATCAGACGGCCTTGCTCTTCCTTCATCGTCCTCGTATAAAGGGAAGCCTTCCCTCCGGGCCTGATAATACTCCTTCCGCAACTTCTGGATGCGGTCGGTGCTCCCAGCTGAGGGACGGATGCTGCAGGATATGACCAAACATACACAGTCACGCAGGGCGCATAATCCCTGAAGTCACTTTTAGATCTTCTTATTAAAGGGCCTGACACCCAAATTTGGAAGATGCAATAATGTAATTCAAATATGCTAGGAAAATGGTGAAATCAGTAATAAAAATGAACAAAAAATGGTCCTTACATACCTACCTTTAGCCCCCAGGGTCAAAACGTCTGACTTGGGATTAATGAATGCCTTTTGAATGAGAAGGCAAGAGAAAGTCCTGACCTATTAGAGCAATTAAAGGACTCATCACTTTCTCCTTACAATCATACATGCAGAGTTTTGTTAAATTTTAATGCGGGTATCTCATTTTCTCACGTAAGTTCTGCCTGTTTGGGACAAAGTTCCAATTGTTTGGTCCCAAGTTTGGATGTGAGACAGGGTTGGCACGTGCCAGTGTTATTTCAGTGAGACTCATGAATTTTGGGAGTAGGGGGCTGGGGATACTTGTCAACAGATGAGTGCAGCCAGGGCACAGGTAAAGAAAAGGAGGTGAAAGCCATGCCAAAGAGTCACAAAGGGGTGAGGGAAGCTGGGTGACAGCAGAATGTGCTTGTCCCAGGCTCTCTCCTCTCTTCTTTAGCCACTGCTTCCTTTGGGAATTGCAGCTTCTCCAGCGACTCATCCACCCAACCTCAAACTCCTTAGCTAGTAGCTCCCTTTTAGCTTGGATTGGTTTGTTGAGAGCATTGCAACAGCACCAATATCATGCAATACAATGCAGGGCCAGGAAGCAAGAGGAGAATGATAGGCAGGTCTGAATAGTCTTCAACTTCCCTGGCTCACTGAGGCATAACTGAATGCCCCACTGTGCCAGACCTTATGTTAAGATCTAGGTATGTAAAAATGAATATTCCCTGTGCAGGGGTGGGGAACCTGCAGCCTTGGGGCCACTTGTGGCCTTCTAGATTCTTGGGTGCAGCCTTTTGACTGAATCCAAATTTTAATAAAGGGATTTGTTCTGTGAAGTTTGGATTTGGCCCAGGGGCTGCACTGGGGGATCTGGAAGGCCACATTGTGGGCTTGGGGGTGCAGGTTCCCCACCCCTAGAAGAGATCACAAAGATGACAACCCTCTGTTAGGTGCCTACGACAGAGATTGGCTTTGGGGTCATGGGAACACAGAGTGCTGGAGCTTTGGCAGGGTCACAGCAGGGCCATAGAGGATCACAGAAGGCCCCCCAGGGGAGCCTTGAAGGATGCATAGGAGTTCAACAGCTGCACAGGTGAGATGAGGGTATTCCAGCTAGAGGGGAGGGCAGGATAAAGCACAACAATGAGAAAGCATCTTGCTTTGGGGACATGCAAGTCTGTCAGTTTGGGCAAGTAGAAGCCCTCAACTTCTTTTGTCCTGCCTCACACACATACCAGGTGAATATGTCCTGTTTCCTCTCCCATGGAAAACTCAATTAGAATAAAGTGCATGCTGATGACTTTAGGGATATTTTGAATTCACTCTAATAACTGACAAAAGTATATCACTTGCAAATTTTGGTACTTTAACTCAGTTGGTAGCAGCTTATTAATCATACCAACACTCATGTTTCATGGACATGTGAGAATCACTGAGATACCTGACAAAATGAAATATCTAAAAGCAATAGAAAGAGGTCATCTATTTTGTTAAAATATTTAAAAATTATGCTAGAAAATTATAAAAAGAAAATGGTGAGTAAACAACTTTTGGAGGAAAAACATTCTTCTCAAACTAGATGGCACGTTAACGGAATGTGGGGCCACGTGCCTGCTCTAGTGGCAGTTGGCACAGGGTTCTGGGCTTCCAGAGTATTCTACAGACCTTCAGCAGCTGATGCCTGCCATTCAGAAAAGACAAATCCATAGTGTCCACATACTTCTATTGTTCTTCAATATGTATTTCAAAACTCTCAAAATAATTCTTATTCTTTGTGACATTTAATTAATTTTTTAGTTCAGTAGATTTAGGCAGTATAAATGGAGTTTTGTTACATGGATATATTGTATAGTGGCAAAGACTGGGCTTTCAGTATACCCGTCACCTGGACAGTGTACATCATACCCAACAGGTAATTTTTCTTTCCTTTTCCTGTCATCCCTTTTTTGAGTCTCCAATGTCTATATATACTCTCATACACTCTGATGATATATTTCTTAAAAATAAAAGTTTTCTTTGAGCACTTCAAAAAAAATAAAGAAAAAGCTAAAAGGCTTGATAAGCTTTTCTGAACCACGGGCTGGCAAGAAAAGCAGCACAGTCTATTTTGAAACAGCTTCCCTCACTCTGGAGTAATATGAGATGACCACGGTGTCTGTATCCCATGCACGGGCTTCTGCCGATTACAGAAATTCATGAGCTGCGTTCAAACTTGCCAGATGAGTTCAATCAACATGGTGCAAACATCGCATACATAATCTATTAGTTTACCCCAAAGAAACTGAAGCATTGAATTCAAGTAGAATGAAGTCATCAGTTATAAAGAAAAAAAACCAGATAAGGCACAGTTTTTTTTTTTAAATAACAATTTTCCTCCATTTGCAGTGGAAAAAAAATCATACTCAGACTGTAAACTATTCTTCCATATGTCTATAAATACATAAATTTAAAAATATGGGTTTGATCAGATTGCTGTTCTCAAGTAAGGGAATGGGGCAAGAATATAAAATCAGCTGTTCAGGATTCAGAAAATCCCCTATGGCTTACAGGAACAAGACTCTTTATCCAGAAAAGAAATCTGGCCCCAGAGAAAAAACAGGAAAAAAAGTTGAAAAAGTCATGGACCATTGAAGGGCAAAACATGCTGTATCTTCTCTCCTGTGTGAATATTTTTGAAAAATATGGAACACCATGCAAACCTTTCGTGATAACCTGGGACTACATCTCAATATCATCTCTTCTTTTTTCCTCACCAAAGTTCACTCTACCTTTAACTGTATCAGATTTTTTTCCAAGTAGGTGTTAAATATACTAAATTTAGGAATATCAAATTCTGATTTCTGATTTTTAGCCCTTCTCAGCAGATAATACACATAAGTTTACCTCCAAATTAATAAAAATTATATATACTACTATTATAATGAAAGAAATTGATTTCATTTTATGTTGAAGGGTAAAAATATAGCAGTCTGAAGAGGGACTTACAGAAACCTTTGTAATAATAGCAATCATCACAATAGTAGTAATTTATAGAACATTTATCTAGTAGATATATCGATACAGACTTTTCCTTAGTCCACTTTGTGCTCAGAAGACATTACTAATCAATTGCAGCATTCTTTCCCAATGATCCCAGACATAGCCTCAGAATTGTCAACCTAGAACTTCAGCCACTACAAATCTACAGGAGCTGGCACTTGGGTTGAGCTTATTTACAAGTCCTGTGTAACAGGTGCTGTAAAAATCTTAAAACCTCAAAAGAATATTGAAGGATAGGTTTTATTATTCTGTCCAATAAAGATGAAGAAGATGAGGCTCATAGCATATAGATGATTAACAAGGTTTGCTGACTTCAAAGACTACTCTTTCCACCATAGCTTCTCTTCCTCCAAACTGCTTCTCTTCCTCCATCTTATTTATATCTTAGTGATCAGTTCCTCTAGCAATATACTGACCCAGAATGGAAGTTAAGGCTAGCCTACAGGACTTACTTTTTAAGGATTCCCTTTCTACTCTATTTACATGCCATCTGTTCTATTTTCCTGGCTTTATGGAACTTAGCAGTACAGATTCCAAGGAGTCTTTGGCCCGACAGCATCAGAAGTGACATCAGATTATGATGTAACTCAAATACTATTGCAATCATATCCAACACCCCATCTCCACGCTGCTAGTTAGAAAATCAGACTTTCTGTATTATTTGTTCACTGGATGAAGCAAAAACTGACCATTCTTACAAAAAATTTCTATTACAGCTATATCCATATGTAGGTAATCAATGCCAGTCCTACACTTTCGAAGTGTTAAAGTGTTATGTTAAATTAATTGAAGCAGTACAAAACAGATTTATATTGTAATGACTTTTTATAAATTATACTACCTATGCTTTAAAAGGCAGATGTAGAGTTAAACAGGTCCTTCTTATAACACTGTAGAGCTGGACAGCGCTTAAAGTTGTAATGGATTTCAGAAACCGTGTCATTTTCTTCTTAGCCACCTATGGTAATAAATTCTCATATGTAATGAACATCACACTAAGGCATTATCTGCCCTTTTGGAATCTAGCCTTATTCTTCCATTCTTCATAGTTTATAACTGCCTCAATTGTAGGACTTTATGAGTGCTCTTCAGTGTGTGCCTTAGTCACCTCCCATTCCTGCTGCAGGCTGAAGAAAACTAACATTCATTGACCTCTTAGGGTATCCTAAAGACAATATTTGTGTTTTACATACTTCGTCTCCTTTAGTCCTCAATGAAATCTGTGAGGATGATGTTTTTATTGACATTTTACAGGTGAGAACACTGAGGCTCAGAGACGTTAAGTGACACAACTGGTGAATGGTGGGCCACGGTCCAAGTGACTCCAAACCAGGGTTGTTTCTACCATATCATGTTGCTTTGCAAGAAAGGCATTAAAATGCAGCAGGCATTTTGTAGCTGCAGTTCACAGGCATTTCAAGGCAGAGGGAATTTAGCAGAGCACATTTACAGCCATACCTTTTGATATTCTTTTATTTGCACAGATCTTTGCAATAAAAATAGAAATAGAAGTAACCAAAGTAATAGAAATACACGCAATGAAGTCTGTATTCATTAAAGAATGGTGTTGGAGCAACTGCAGATGGAGATTTCTGGCAATTAATATTACATCTCTAACAGGCTTGTGTGGGGAGCTGTTATAAAACTGAATGGGGTGCAAAAGAGAATCCACATATGACAAAGATCCCATATGAGAGACAAAGAACCTCTGGATGAGGACCAGGACAGGGAGGCCGCCAGTGCTGCTGCTGGGAAAGTTCAGCACTAACTGAATGAGAGGGAGCTGGTCAC